AGAGTTTTTCTAACATTTTTGTTTTGTAGCAGAGTTTACATTGAAGAGACATTGTTAGATTCTTTTTTTCCTAAGCCAGGCCCCATCAGGTATCCATTGCACTGAAACATATAAAAGAAAAAGAACTTTTGCTAAATCCTCAAGAAAGCGAGAGGCCTGCATATACTGGGGCTTATGAGGAATGGAAATGCTCCCTTATTTTAAAAAATTCTAAAGAGGTGGTGTGTAATATAGTCCTGTATCACACGTGCTTATGGGTCCATAGCATATATAAGCGCACATCAAGTTTCTTAGCTCCTTGCCTTCTTACATGAGGAAAAAAACCCCATGCTATTTGTAGGTGCAAATCCATTGATACATCTTATATTACATAACGTTGAAGCAGAGATGCCTGTCAGCTGGAATGTTTGAGATAGAATATTTAAGGCATTAGTGGGTAATATCTGCTCTTACAATGTATATTGCTGTTTTATTAGGATATTAGACACGCTTTTTTTTGACTTGCTCCTGATTCCTCTCGCGTTCTCAAATCACAGCCCCAAATTCTCTGTGGATTTTCTCTGCACAGCAATATCTTACAAAATACAGATGTTGAACCTGAACTATAGAAGTGAGTTTTGTCACAGGTGACTGCACTGATTCCCTGGACTTTATAGCAGTGAGTTTGTTGGACCATATGGCCCTTAATTTCTTAAAGGGCCATTTCTCAGTTTTCATGAGGTTCAGCATGCTGCTTGCAAGGCTTTATATGGAGTAGCACATTAAAGCAGTCACAATGAATCACTTGCCTCCAAAATAGATCTTGTATTTAGAGGAGTCGTGGAGCAGAGTTGTTATATGACTGCACACATCATCCCCTCAGTGTATGGGTCTGCAGTTCTGTTAAAATTTAATTGCGACTGTGTGCTATGCAAAAGCTATTTTCCAAAAAAAACAAAAAACACACCACACTATTAAGTTATTAAGTCTACTTCAAGCTTGCATCGTAAATCAAACCGGTTACTTCAGCTCTTGTGACAGTTTTGTAGTTTTGGCTTTAGATGCGCAAAATTGAAGCTTTCTTCCTGGATATCTCTGTGCAAGGTGATTAAAGACATCATAAGAGTCTGAGGTACATTCTGCTGTTAAAGATTTTAGATATAAAATGTATGTTCAAATCGTGAGTACAAATCTAGACTTCTTATGTTTCACATGTTTAATAGACTATAAATCCAGGGCTATGGCAGTTAGACTTTTAATTCAAAGTTTTGGCAAAGAATAATAATCTCTAGAAAAAACAGTTCAAAAGTCAACTATATTATTTTTATAACCAAATATGTTTTATACTTCCAAGTGTAAGCTTAGAATAGACTGGTCCAAAACTATAAGAGAACAAATTATAAAACTTCATCTATACAACATGAAGCTATTTTTATGAAAAATTATATGGGATAAAAATGCTCAGAGAAGTAGAAGTTTTTGACTGGTGCGCTCCCCTCTGTTGCCACACATTAGTATAACCCCTATAACCTTGTGGCTGCTTTTAATGAGGAATCCTGAGCAGACCTTTCTAAGCTTCTTCACACTGTTTTGAATATATGAATTTGAACTAGATTTGAAAATAGATTATTTTAAAGGTAGAGTGAGCCAAAATACTTTGAATTCACATAATGTCAATCTATTTATTTTTTTGTAAAAACTGATATTTTCCAAAGCAGTATTTTGGATTGCTGTTTTTTGGCAGAGAAGCTGTAAGACTAGAGAGGGTTGGAGTGAAAGCCCCCATGTGCTGTTTCACAATGTTCCACTTTCTGAATTGCAGTACTCTTCCAATTAAAGATCCTCACGTAGACAGTGCCTCTCCAGTGTACCAGGCTGTGCTTAAGACTCAAAACAAGCCTGAAGATGAAACCGAAGACTGGAGTCGCCGTTCTGCCAATCTGCAGTCTAAGTCTTTCCGCATCCTTGCCCAGATGACAGGAACGGAGTACAGTAAGTCAAATAGCAAAACATCCCCACGATCCCTGAGTTCAGATTCATGCCTTTATCTTAGTATTAACAGCTGATACTCAAGATTGACTCACATCCCATTTGTGGTCGTTTTCAGTGACACCCAAGATCAGAAACGCTTGAATGTAACTTGAAGTAACTGGGAAATCTAAGTGTCAAATCTCACCTTAGACTTCACAAAGAAAATTTATTGATCTGCTGCTCTGGGTATCACCATAAAGGAGTGAAAGACTATACAGTAAAAGAGCATCTGAGACCAAATAGTTCCTCCTACTTACAATCTGAGAGCTGCTGGGAATATCATGGGAGCTTGAACAGCCCTGCTCATTACCTATGGAAATGCTTTTCTGACCATCTAGTACTTACCCCAGGTCTTGTTTCTGATCCAAAGAGAAGGAAGTTGAGTGAATTTTTCTGCATCACATGGAAACATTTACTTAGTATTTCTTCCTCCTTTCCTCTGTATTTGAATCTGCCGCTGCCTCAGATGCTTTCCTACAAAGCAGAGGGCCCTCCCTCTAGGTTCATTGCCTACAGCTGTGAAACTCTGCTAATAAATGGATGAAAGTAAAAGCTGCTTTCCTACTAGTACCCTCTAGAGCTCTAAGGAACTGCTCCTATTTGTACTATTTTTATGAAAACTATTGCTACAAAGTCAGCAAGTGTATATCTTTCAATAGGTGTTTCAGTGATGTTTTTCTAAGAACTTGTACTTTAAGCATAAACTCACTTTTTTTTTTTTAACTGAAGCATTTTTTTTTTCTCTGTAGTGCAAGATCCAGATGAAGAAGCCTTGAGGAGATCAAGGTAGGCAACTAGCTTTGGCAGTTATGGCTTTGTCCTTACTGATGATTGAATAACGCTTTAAGCATTAATAAGAAAATACAAACCTTTTTATCTTAAAATATTCTAACATATTTACTGACAAATCACTAAAGTTAAAATCATGAGTAGCGTTTGAATCAAGAGGGTAACAGTGGCATGTACTCTAGGAGAGAGAGTGAAAAATTCCCGAAACTTGTGTTCAAATCTGAAAGCTGTCTGCTTATGCAACTTTCATTTACTTTATTGGGAGCGTGAATGTAATGAGTTCCTAAAACCAAGCCTTGTGTAACTACTTATTTTGTAGCGGGATTAAAATATATAATGTTGTGGTGTTGAAATTCATGAGCAATTTATTTGGATGATCCTGTGATTGGCATTGGATTCATTTGAAATGATAGAGTAAAGGAGTTGTTTCCATTTATGTCCATAATTATCATCTGCTTGTGTTTTGTATGGAAAAAAAAGAAAATCTAATGTAGAATTTGAGGACACAGGACTGCTTTTGCTAGCTGAGAAATATATTTGTCAATTTTCAGATGTTCTGCTAATAACACTGATACAAAGGTATATGTTAGGAGATATTAAGGAATTGAAGGCTTAAAATCATTTAATGTTGTCATACACAGCCTGGGGATAGATTTATTAGAGGTTCTTGTGTGCAGCTTAAAAACTGCAGTTTAGCTGGAACATCCTACATGCAAGCCTGATTTGCATACTTCAAATCCCTATATTGTGTTAGCCACTCAAAGCAGGTGCCAGGATTTGTAATGTATATGATACTCATCCCACTTGCCTTTTTTTTTTTTTTTTTTTTAATACTGCCATATGGCTTATGTAACAGTTTTGAGTTTTTTGATCACAGTGCAGGCTACAAACATTGAGTAAGTGGCAAAGATATCTGCTGTCTTCCCTTTGAAGATACCATGAGTATACTTTCAGTTTGTTAGGTTTGCTATAAAGCTGCCATTGCAGTTCGCAAAAGTTCGTGAATAGGTGTCCGCGTATCAGGCTTGACATTACATCCTTCATGGATTTATATCTTCCTTCAAATGTGTGAGCCTAAATCCTATTAAATGTATTATGCATCACATGTTTTGATATAATAGCACATATATACATAATAGCACATGATAATGATAGATTTTAAAATGTTCTGCTGACTCTGACAGTTCTCCTATACACATCTGAGAGCAATACATAGTTTTAAAGAAATAATCTTTTTAGCTGTAATCTGTGGATGTGGAAAATAACTGATACTGAACACTTAACATGGCATGAGAGGCATTGAAAATAATGGATCAACATACGCACTGCAAATTCCATATTTTATTCACTGTAATTTAAAGTACATGACTATATCCATTGTACATTGCCCATTGTCTGCAGTTTTGAGCTATCACTGTGTTATCCTTTTTCACCAGGGGAGTTAAGAGTCTGAGTACATTTAGGTACTGTTGAACGGTATTTAAAGAATGTTAAGGGCATTCACGGATAGTAGAGGCAGAAGAGAGTATGTATTGGGTAGCTGCACAGTGTTACAGTGTTATTGGCATGGGCTCTGGTGCAAGGAGTGAAATAAAGCCTCCTGTTCATTTAGCTGCAAGCATCGTACATATGTCACCTGCAAATTTGGTAGCACCAGCCATGGTTATGCCTGCTTCCATGATTATTCCCTTGGGCCCTATGGGACTCTTCTCTTTTTAATCTTTTGGAGAAGGATTTCTCCAAATTTTTCATCTTTTTAATCTCCAAATTTTTCATCTTTTTAATCTTTTGGAGAGGGATTTCCTGTGCTACTTTTGGCTTTGTGAAAGTATGAATTTCCTGTGTCTGATGCAGATCCTTCCATCCTTAACTCTGCTCACCCATCACAATAATGGAGAAGATACTCCTCTTTATTGTCTTCCCCAGATGGCCTGTACAACCGCCCCTTCTCATTCATGCCCCTAGTTTGGGGTCACCTGTATGGTTTCCTGGGCCCCCAAACGCAAGAGGCTTCCACGGAGCTCTGGAAAGACTCAGTGTTGCATTAAACCCGTGCTGTTCTGGGAGTCTGGAAAAAATTATTTTATGTTCCAAAACTTACACTGCCAGAGACTTCACTGAATGGAGAATTTTGGTCTTGGGGCATGCTGTGAGCATGCTCTCTCATGTGCTTTCTCTTGTCTCTTTGTGTGAGCTCTTCAGTGTAGTCAGCGAGGATTGCATGAAGTGGAGATCAGGTTTCTTTCAAATGCTTGAAAAAGAAAAAAACATACAGCTTTTGGGAGGAGGTGTCTTTTACGTAGAAATATTCACTTCTGGGTTGCTGCTTCTAACTTCATGACATGTGCTCTCAGCAGGACCTATAATGCTCAAGAATTTTCAGGTGGCAGAATATTATTTTCAGTTCATATTAATGAGTTCATTGCATGACTGTCTTCTGCTTACATTGCTGCTATTTTGAAGTCACACATAAGATTATAATTTGCTGTGAAAACTTTGCTGTTGTGATGATTGTTACAGAACATTTTCCAGAAAGGTGGTATCCATTTCAATTCAAACATGCTTCTTAATACCTTTTCCTTGAATGGAGGGGTGCATCTTCAAAGCAATAAAGGAATTTTTAAATTTGATGCAAGACCTATTGCAGCTAGTATACTCCAAATTATTTTCAAAAAAAAAAAAAACCGTTTTGAAGTTTCAGGACTTCAGCTGGGAATACTTTACATCTTTTAATTATGTAAAAACATGAAAGTCTGAAAAATGATATATCAGAATTCCTTGAGGAGTGCTACTTGCATGACTCTGCTATTAGGAACAGAAGATTTAGAAATATCAATGAATTTGTTGAAATTTATTCTTCTTATTGTCTTGCCCATTATTTAGCCTGAGGAGTAAAGCTAGCCTGGTCTCTTCATTTCCCTTTGTCTGGCCAGTTTCACTCTCGGGTTCTGCTGTATTAACACAATTGTGCTGTGCTTGGGTTTAAATAATGAGGGAAAATTACCTTGTTTGCAATGAATCAAATATGTTTGCAAATAAGAAGAACATTTTATTTTCCATTCTGTTTGATATACTTCTCTTCCTTCCTCTCCCTGACCATGCTCTCATCCCACGTCCTTGTCTTTCCCCTCTTTTATTTACAAAACCTGAGCTTAAACTATAGATCATCTAGAAAAGAGTCAGTTCTGAGAGGTGGTGAATACTGCTTGCAACTTGCTTGGGTGCCCCAGTCTCTAAGTAAAACTGAAGGTAGTTAGGGATGTTCGTCAGAGATGGTCAACGCTTCACAGGACTGTGCTTTTGAAAATCCTGTGTTATTCCGCTTTTTGTTGCAAGTGACCAAACATGGTAAGGCAACTATCAACACTTGGAGGATTTTTTGGTTCCTGTGGCCAAACTGATGAGAAAAGCTATAGAAAAGTACCGCTCAAATGCGTGGCTGATGGTCCTGACAGGACGGGACAGGATGTAGGCTGACCTAAATATTAAGAATGGAAAATGCACTAATTTTGCGCTTGTACCAGTTAACTTTCACTAACTGCTCAGTTGGGAAGTGGGGGGAAAGCTGAGAGAATCTGTTGGCAGGAAAACCATGGGATTACACGAGATTTCTAGCAAAAGCAGCCTTGTCAAACAAAGCACAATTCGAAGAATATGAAGTTATATCAAGTTACTGCTCAGAAATGAACAACAGAAAAAGCCTTTCACACGCAATGTAAAAAAAGATCACCCTGCCGCCTTTGCACTGATTTGAAAGTTGAAGGAAAAAAAAAAATCCAAATAAATTGCCATTGCCCTAATTATAAGGCAGGGGAGTAGTAGCCATGTTCCCTAACCCCTTTCTTTCTCCCTCCTTTCTTTCTTCTTTTTGTTTCTCTGTTTCCCTTTCTCTCTCTGTCTGTTTCCCTTTCTCTCTCTTTCTTCATGCCACAGGGAAAGGTTTGAAACGGAACGTAACAGCCCACGCTTTGCCAAATTGCGCAACTGGCATCACGGCCTGTCGGCGCAAATCCTTAATGTTAAAAGTTAAAAGCCCATGTGTAGCAGGCAAATATGTGAGACATAGAACTACATCAAAGAATTAACTGCTGTCCTGACGTAGAGTCTGAGTGTCACGCGCTTGCAGGACAGACTTACTGCTAGGGGTTTTCTCTGGGTGCCTGTCTTTGATAGATTTCTGTTGTTAGCCTGATATCCCTTCTCTGTCACCCAAGGTAAAAAGTAGTAATCCAACCCTATTCATGTTCTTCGTTACACAGTAGATAAGCTTTTGTCTTTTGCTATCTCAAATGTAACTTTAATATACAGATAGAAAAAAAAAATCACTATTTTACTTTCTTGACTTTAAGTAAAGGAGAAAGTGAGAGGGAAGTTATTGACAGCATTTCTTTAAGGTGGAGAGAAATTAAACTTTTGAGTTTCACTGCTGTAAAGATAATTAAATAGGAGAAAGAGAAGTGAAAAAGAAAACTGACTCAGCCTAGCCTAGAGTTTGTTAACTATACAGCATGCTTACTTTGCATAGGTGCGTGATGTTTGAGATAAGACCTTAGCAATGTTAAGTTTATTTTTCTTCAATATGTTATACTGGTAAGAGTCGTTTGCTAAAACCATTGCTCTTAAGTTTTCCATTTGAAACCTGAATTTGTCATTAGATGAAAGGTAGAGGTGGAATGTGCTTGCTCAGGAACTGTGAAGGAAATGACATTTTGCTAGAGGTGATTTAGGAGTGAGAAGCATATATAGGACAATGTGCGCACTGAAGTTTTTGAAAGCATCTTGTAAGTTTTAAGCAACATGTTGCCCATTCTATATTGCTCTTGCTTTGACTCACGTTTTTATTCTGTATATAGCAGCATGCTTTATCTGAAATAAAAGGATTTAAAACTAAAATAATTATGTGCCTGTTTTACACAGTACTTTGTTCTGTTCTAAAACAATAACAGCTTCAACTTATTTTTGAAAGGTGAACCTTTTTTTTTTTCCCACCGTAGAAA